AAAATCTTCGTCGAGAAAGAAAGATTCGTTCCGTTCGACGAAAAGAGAAATTTCTTCTCCGAATAATCCATCCATTTTTCGGCTTATCTTATCCCCCGTTCGAGAAAATCTGGTGAATTTGAAAATTATCCGATTTCACTTTCTCACTTTCACCTATCGTATTTTCTTTTTCCTTTTTTTTTTTTTCAAATCTCTTTACAGACCTCTTCCCGAGACCCTATCCTTTCCTTTCATCCTCCCTTTCCTTCATTTCCCTCGTATCCGGAAACGAGAGAGGATTTCGCTTGATCGGGTTGCCTCTCCTCTCGCGCGACAGATATAATTGCGAATGAGATTACACCCTCGTGCGAATCCTATTCAACGCTCTCAACGTTGTGCATCCTCGTTTCGTGCACTTTTGCCAGAAATGGAAATACATACCGGTATGATAGAAGAGCGAGAGAGAGAGAGAGGAGTTGAATTTTATCGGATAACGACGCGTTCGTCCATTATAATTGTAAAGCAAAAGATTGTGTAACTACACCCTATTCGACGATGAGCGAGCGATCCTTTTTACTTCTTGCTTTCAAATGTAAGAATGGTGAATGCATTTGAGTGAAAAGTCTGTGGAGAGTTGCGAATTTACTTTTTCTAAGTGGACGTATTACGATTGAAATTTGGGAAATTTGATAGATTTTGATAGACGTGGATTAAATTAGGATTGGATTCGCTTCTATTTGTTGTTATTTTTCGGCGAGTATATATGGAAAAGGAAAAATAAAACTTGGGTTTCTAGAAAATAATATTGTATTTCCTCATAAATTATAAAAGGAATAGAAAAGATGGCGAATTGGTAAAAGGGAAAAATAATGGTGGAAATTTATTTTCGCCCGACGAAATAACAGTATCCAGTAACGCGTGTTTAACAAGGAAAATAACGACTGTGCATGCAAGATGATCTCTGTGCAAAATAGATGCAGCAGATTAAACGCGTACAACACGATATTATCGAAAGCTAAAATTCAAAGTTAATTAAGGGAACTGAAAAATCTCGGATTAATTCCAACTTCCACGGATCGGATTAACATCTATTGAATCTCGTTACGAAACGCAAAAAAAAAAAAAAAAGAAAAAGAAAAGAAAGAAAGAAAAGGAAAAAAATCCATAAATTATGAAACATCGTAAGGAAAAATCAATCGAACAAAGAATGGAATATCGAGTGGAAAATATGGAGAAAATTTATTCGAAAATATTTGTTCGAATAAAATATTATAATCTCGTTCTGCACGAAATAACCCAAACGCGCATATGAAATTCCATCCTTTCGAATAAAATTTTAATCATTACCCTGAATCCAAAGATCTTCGAGCTCTTGGAAAAAAAAAAAAAATCTCAAATTTTCTAAATCAATCTAGAAAAAAACAATTGCTACATACTCGAAAATACGCGCGATACGATTGACACAACACGTAGAGAAAATTCAATAGATGGAATTAAGAAAAAGATTCTTCACACGCGAATGGAATAACCACGACGATTTCTCTCTTATTTTAAACCGTTTTTCTTTTTTTTTCTCTCTCCAATTTTCTCCCCTTCTGAAAACGTAACTGTATCGCGTGATACGCACTTCCTCCGGGTGAATTCTTTAATAAACTAGTTTCGAGCGAGCAGCGTTTCAGCTGCATCGCGCCGCTCAGTTTTCTCGCTCGAAACGCGTGGAATTCCGCGCACCAGTTGGCATTTTGACCGAACAGAAGCTTGATCAGGGATACCGTTAGCAAATTACCCGCCCGTTAAATTTATATCGAATCGATAGAACGGGCGAGATACCTCCTCGTCCTTTTCGATCATTCTCAGATTGGAAGGGATTATTTCGAAATTATAACGCTTCGCTCGAGCAAAGATTCTTCGATCTGGAATTTTATCGGGACAGAACGATCAAATCGTGATCCAGAAGGATCGAGCCTTTTTCAACTCTTTCGAACGAAATATCGAACGTGAAAATTTAAATATTGTGAATTTTTTATTATTCTCGAGAGAATCGCATTAATTCGAGCACGGCCAAGAAGAAGAAACTGCAACGTTTTATCGCGAATCGCGCTTAAAACTCTTGAGATCTATTTTTAATAGAGTTTTCCAGCAACATATACGAAAGCAAATAAATACGAATGTCGAGAGGGTAAACAGGCTATTTGAATGTAATCAGTTTCGTTTCATCAGGATATACGCGGAGAAGATCGTCGTGTTAATAATTATAAAATATGCAAAACTATTACAAGATTCGTGTAATTAGGAGAAAATAATTCTAAATTGCTTCGTTATCCCGAGAAACTGATTATATTATAAGAAACCATGGGATTAGAAAGAATAATTTATTGACGCTAAAAATCTCGATAATAAACTTTACGCGCTTGTTATAATTTAACTATCACTGAACTAAAACAGGGAACAACTAGGGATAATTGTTACAATATTATATCGAGAAGAAGTCACAAGTTCAAAAAAGAAAAAAGTTCCGCTTGTTAAAAAATTAAAAAAAAAACAAAAAAAAAAAAACAAGGTTAATTACAAAGCGAAAAGAGTTATTTAAGTTCGTTCAGACTTCCTCGATTCCCCCCTCCCCCCTCCCCAATAATAAAATAAATAAAAAATGCGTAAAAGATCATTAAGCGCCTATCACCTGTTCCACCATTCCAGTCGATCGGTCTAATGAAAATTAATCGAGAGAGCAAGACGCGGGCAGGTGTTATGATAATTCGTTTAAATTAGCCCGGGTAAATATCCGTATGCAAAGTTATGCAGCCGAGTTAAATGGGATCACCTTGGTACGCGAGCATCGACGTACACCGGCCATGAGTCGTGGCCATTATTTACGCGGATGCAATTATGTTACACGTATCCCGCCCGCTCGAGTTGTTGCCTGTATTATTCTAATTTAGCCGCGCAACAACGCACACCGGTGTTTATCTGGATTACAGTTCGGTACTCGATAATAATAGGCATCGTCGCGCCGTTTGTGCCGCGCTTACGAAATCGCAACGAATCCAATGCTGTTTCTAACGAGGTGTGTTTTAATAATCGACGAAAATCGAGAGAAGACGCGATGAAATCGCGTGGATACGAATTTGCATCGGCGAAATCGTGTACCGATTCACATTCTTTCTAAAAAAGACGTACAAATAAGGATGTGTGATTTGATATTTCGTTGGGGATCGTAGGTTTAGAAATTCGTTCGATTCGTCTTTTGATGAAATAGAGTCAAGGTTTGTTTGAAGGAAAATAATTTGACGAATCGAAACGATTTAAACGCGTCGAATTAAATTCTAAGATTTGAAATTAGATTTGAATGTTTTCTGTATTTGTCGGTGAGTAAATTATTGCTTTCCTGGATAACGATAAATTGGCTCTATTCTGGAAACAAAGGAGAATCGGCCTACATAACGTTTCCAATTTATGTATAGATACATATCGTGCCTACTTTATTACATGGTGAAAATTTATAGACTGAACGCGCTACATCTTCAATTTATGAACTTTGATCGAAGCTTGAGAAGTTTAATTGCAACGAACAATAAATCCTGGTGAATACCGATTATTTTATTGAAAACTTTATTAATTCCTTTCGCCAATTAGTCTAACGTTCGCGTGTGTGATTATTCGTTTAATTATTTTTGCCTTAAAAGAAATTTCTCTTTTAAAATTAATCTACTAATTAACCTATATTCGAAACATAGAAACTCAAAAGTTGAGTTATTCTAAATAAATAGAACAAGAGAAGAATTCTTCAATTTTAAAACAAAGAGCGAAATTATCCTAACTTATTATACAATTCATTTTCGACTAGGATTATATTCGAGTGTTACGAGTCATGTTATTACGTAGTGATGTTAAACGAAGTAAATTAATAGCAACGAAGAAACGAGAAGCAAATAGAACAGAGGAATCATAGAAACTGGCTGTGCAAGTCTCGTTATTTTCCTGGCGAAACGAGTAAAAAAAGGATATCTTCGTTATAATGAAAAAATACGAGGAGGAGGGGAAGGATAAAATCCCTTCATCATTTCGATTCCATTCAAACGAATTTTTCACTCAGAAATAATATCTGTCGACGTATGTCGAGAAGTCGTTGCTCGAATAAACGATCGTCTTTTTCAAAGCTTTTCGCATATTTTTATAAGACTAACACCTATACACGATATACATTTACACGATCTTCCGACAAATATGAAATCAAAAAACAGATATATATATATATATCCTACGACCGATCCTCTCGAGTCACAAAGACAGTCTCTGGTTAGTCTTAAGACGTTCCACGAACACAGGAAAATCCTCGGAGAAGAGAAAAGAGCATACGACAAATAACGAAACATTGGAATTACTTTTTGATCTTGATTCGTGTTTCGATTATTTTTCTGCCTTTTCGGTAAACCGAATGGAGGTAAAATTGAACGAGCGACTTTACCTCTTACAACGTTGCTCCTCGTTACCGACCGCATTATTCTATTGTTCCATTGTTCTATTGTGGCTAGTTATAGTACAGTTATAAATAACAACCTAACAAATTTCTTTGTGCGGGAAATATCGACGGTATCATGAATTTATCGCGGTTTTGTGGCACACGTATATGTATACCGCGTTTGGTATTGTTATTAATATTTGTATTACCGTTAATATGATATTTATGTAGTTTGGATGAAATAAGGTGTAAGAATTAACGTATCGATAACTATATAAAATAACGCCAATAACGTAGCAAGTCTTAAGAATAACGGTAACGGATTAACGTTTTCGGAAGAATTTTAAAACGCAATTATCATACAATAACCCTGTTGCATTTCATAATTACCGCGTCATCCTAACCTTACATGGAATATTGAACGCACCGAACAAATATTTTACAACTATCGAATTATACATTAATCTTTTCTCCTCGGGAAAATTACTTGTAATTTTAATATTGCGAATAAATTTAAAATGTGAATAAAGGAAAAAGAACGAAAATATGGAAGTACTACTCACCTTTTTGATGGCTTCCAGCGCCGCTTCAAAACTCCCAGCATGAGTAAACCGATGTAAACGAGGCCCAGGTGCCAACGGGCTTCCGACTCCCAGGAGCGTATCAAGCACCACCACCAAAACCAATCACCACACAACCACCGGTCAACCTCAAAGATCTTTCCGAAAGATCAATTTAGTCACTCGAGTCACACCATGATCGTCCACTATGTATTTTCTTATTTCGATATCGGTATATCGCGACCGACTCGTCACTCGATCAATCGATATTCCCGGATTCTGTGGAACAATCAATCGAACCGTTTAATTGGTCAATTGGTTCGCGCGGGAAGCGTTGTTATTCGTGGGAAAATCGATAGTCGAACGAAAGCACCAATCGTAGCGCCACCACCAAAATTTTTAACTAACTATCTAACCAATAATTTCAAGTCATTGAAATGATAGAATATATTGTAAATTATCATTTATTCGAATAAAAAAACTCAAATAATATTTTTTTAAATTTCCGTATCGATATACATGAAACTTTTTCCTCGAGTACATAATGATAAGGAAACTTTTCAACCACTAAAGAACCTTTATAGTTTCTGAGTATTAGTGCATAATATGTATAGGTTTCGCACGTCAATACGGGTGAATGGCCTGTGATCATATATTGAACTGAGTAAACGGATTAATAACGTATTAATTTTTAATGAAAATGTAATAAAATATACGAATAAAATAAATCATCAGCGACATTCATTATCTATCTTATCGATTAAAGCGATTATCGATTCATCGCATTCGAGTATATTTTTTATTATTGTATAAAAAAATTTTTAATAAACCGGAAAATATAAATTCAAGCTATTTTGCCAATAAAGCAGTTATTTATATCATGTGTAATCTTTAGCGATTAACGCGGATGAATATATAAATATTTTTATATATAAAATTGATTGATTATTATTATCGAATAATTTCTATCGTTTCGCAAAGAAATCTTATTAACGATCCTGTCAAATAACGAGAATTCCTATGACGGTAGACATCTCCACAAACATCCAATGTAACTTGTACTTACACGAGATAAACGTATGCCACTGATTAATTAGCTGCCAATGATGTCAGCGTTACCTAGGTACCCTGATTAATCGTTCGTCCTAAATAATAAATTGCAGATTGTGATAATGAAGACAGCAATTAGCTCCAATTTTTCGAAAAAACCTGTACCCGCTCTTGGAATCTTGTCTTCAACACTTTTTCCATAATTACGTAATCAATCGAAAACTTTATCAATATCATGACAGTTTTGAGTATAATTTATGTAATGTTATAAAAATGTCGTGAAATCCATGCACGTACAACACTATCCCCGTATAAAGCGTAAAATTCGACCATTCCACTCATTTGCGTATTAATTTCCACACACTATTAATAAACAAACACAATGACTCATTTAAAATTGTACATAGCTATATTACGAAAGTAAACACAAGTTTATTTATCCTCAAAACTATCAACGCGACGCAGAAATCTAACAGCTTGACAAGCTACAAAAAAAACTGGTCCGAATGGCGTAGCTTGAACACACAAATCGATTATTGCTTTGCGATTCTATCAATCGATGTGATTATCGAAATTTCGATAATATCGATATGAAAATTACGTATAGAACGATATTCATATTCACCTTAATAAATATGAAAAAGCATCGGTTAATGTAAAACGAATCGTTCGCGTGGAAACGTTGCTAGCAAAACAAACTTTTTATTTTATTCCTATGCGTCACAATGAATCATCCTCACTTTAAGGAAATCGCAATCTAATATCGATTATATATAACTACGTAATACGGTGTAATCGATCTATCTATGCCATGAAATTTCATTCTAATCGAATAATCGTTTTCGACTACACTGACACTCAGAAACTTGCAAGAAAGATATGTGACGCTACGAATTGATGCTGATTACTAACGTTTTCAAAATCTGACCCCGTAACCGCGTTCTGGATGCAGGAAGACGCAAAAACACTGACTATGAGAGGTCGACGACGTATCGACGTAAACCGCGAATATATAACGAACGTCGATCAGGCGGAAGTTGCACGCAGAACACAGACACGAACCGGCTGCACGCCGAACTCGAACTGAACTAAAGACAGAGATGGCAGACACGCGGTGGTACTCCTTCCCGGCAGCTCGCCGGGCACCTCGCTTCCCCCACCAACTCTCCACACGTCCCCTTCCTCTCAGTCACGGCTCAAGGTACAGCCGATACGAAGCGCCACGGGTTACGATGCTAATAATCAATCGAATTAGTTTAATTTACGATTGCCTTTTTTTTCCAGTCTTGAAATGATGTCACAATAAAAGGTATTTTAATTCTATTAAAACTATTTTTTATTATATATAGCGATTTATCGAAAAACTTTCTTTTTCTTAAAATTGAAAATTTGATATTTGGTATTGTATTTTGAGGTTATACGTATATTAAGTGGTGAATATATTAAAAATTAATAATATTAGAAAATTTAAATAAAATGAAATAATAATATGTAAATTGATTATTTTAGAACAAAATGATTCGATAAGCAAAAGATTTATAAACTTTTAAAATATAAAGTAAAAATTTATTCGAAAATATGAAAGAAAGTTCATTATAGGTGAAGTTTAGCCAAATATTTGACGTGATAAATTTTTCATAGCTTGACCACGTAAAAATTTCCTTTAGAGAGAATTTTCAAACGATCTGCCAATCTAGATTTCAATTTAAATTATGTAAAATGAAATGCATATTTCAATTCAATAATACAATCTTATTTAAGCATGTATTGCAAAGATAAAGATTTTTTCACAAAAAAAATGCAATAATAAGATATTTTACAGTATCGTAACGTTAAAATTTTTTGATTCTAGATATAGTTGACATAAAGCTTGTTCGATATGTGCATATATCTTGGTGATTTAAAGGCAAATAGAAAAAGACGGTAAAACACGTGTTCATTATAAATTTACATCTACTACTCTCTTGCAAAGCTATAGGATTGCATCCTGTAACACGAACACAAAAAGTTTGAAACAAGAGAGAGGATGAATTCAACTAACATTACGTAATCTTCATATTCATTAATTTTATTACAAGATACAGTTAATTCGTAACAATTCTAAAATTCATCTTTGAAAAATAATTTTCTATGCATTAATTTCTTTTATTTCATTTCAAATGGGAATAAATTTTATTAAAAACTGAAAATCGCTGTCAAAGTATTAATATAAAAAGATAAGTAAAAAATATATTTATACACATTACTTTACATTATTAATAGTACTAAACGAATCCTTTAATATAAACTCGAACAGAAATGTTATGAGACAACCCTTAACATTTAATCATCCCCGGAGAATATTTTATTTCTCTTGCACTGCTCGCAGCTAAAGGTTACCCTGATTCCTTTCTATTTCTAGACCAATGTACCATGAAGCTACAGAGATAATTCAATCATAATTATTAACAAAAAGAACTATGAGGTAAGCTTATTAAACAGAAATAGTTATTAGTTAAAAAATTATATAAATTATCGACAATATACAATATGTAGATAAAAGAATATGCTATTATTTTATGAGAATTTTATAAGATTATAAGATAAATTCATTCCAAATATTTCCATTTAATGCTTAGCAAGCTTATTTAAACGAAAATCTTTACGTCACAATTAAACGTTATCTATTCAAGTACATGATACAATAACCAAAAGGCAAAAGAATTATTTCATTCTTTCAAATCTTCTTCCAGCTTTGCGTTTCAATGCAGATAACAGAGAACGCCACTTATTTCTCCTCTTTCTTTCCTTTCTTTAACGAAACGAGATACAAAGTCCTAAGCATTCTCGAAGTGCAACACAATACTAAAGATTAATTAAATCTTCGTACGTTTTAAAAAATAGTATTGCTTTAAATTGCAGACAAATAAAATCATCATTCTCTCAAGACAAAGAAAAAAATCAAGAAAACAATGAATAAAGCAATTTCTCGTATTATCATAGAAATGTTCCAAGATATCGAGAATTGCAGTTTACAATCGAAAAGAAAAAAAATTCATTTCACGAGCATCTCCATCCTCGTGAATAAGAAATTCGAATCATGTCCCAGATATCACGAAGAAAGTTAGGAGGCGATCCAACGCGCATATTCGGCCCGGCGTTTCGAACTTTTCACTCGTCGAGAAGTCGGCTCGAGGCGCAACCGAATCGTCGAACGCTACTTCCGACATCTCAGCCCGCCGGAAACCTTCTCCCGTGACGGGATCCGGTGCAGCAATCGCGCAGTTTCGCGCTGGTTCCTCCGATTCGGCACAGCTGAGCCGACTTCGGCATTGCTCGGCCACAATCGTAGACGATGCATCGATTTTTCCTTCATTCGCTGCTGCTGCTGCTGCAGCCACGGTGCATTGCCTTTGCACCGTGACCGCGTTGACACTTGCCAACTTTCCTTTCCAAGCCTTTCCTCTTTATATTCGCCTTATTCCCTTTTCATTTTTTTTTCGTTTCTTAAAGAGATTTAAAATAAAGCGTGATGGATGAAACGTAGGGAATGTATAGGATAAAAAATAAGAAGAGAATGGATTGATTGGATTTTCTTGTAATCGTTGTAAAATTAGGTATTAATGTAGTTCTACACGAATCTGAAATGTTTTTTATTGATTGAAAAGTTGTAAGGTCGGTTTGCTTTGCGGCTTCATTAAAAATATTGCTTTTAATTACCAACGAGAAAATTTCTTTTTTTCCAGAGACTAAGAAAGCTGTATAATCATTAGTGTTGATCAATTTCCACGAGGATTTATTGCCCCTTTATGAAGAACTTTTTAAGCTCATTTACTTTTTCTCTTATTTACGAGAAACTTCTGCACCGTTTCATCACCCTATACTAATGATGGACACAAACTTTTAAATTTATAAATTTATGATGTGACTAAAACATGAATAAACGCTATTGTATCAATGAACAATCGAAAAATCTCATCAAAGAAGAAAATTATTAGAAAGAAAAGGAAATAACGTATGTAATTTTCACTTGATCATTGTTAAAATTATCATTTAAATCTATTATTTAAACATAATCTAACTTTGTTCACTTAAGTGTAAAAGATAGATTAAGGTCAAGGGTAAAGTTCAGCGGTAAGAATGAAAAGAAGGTGCAGGTGGAGATGGGTCAGAGTAATTTTAAACAACCGTGCGACTGGTTTCTCGAGATTTCACGCTGGTTCCTGACAGGTAATGCCCTCGGGACGAACATGGAAAAAAACCAAATGGAAACCTAATGTATCGCTTCAAACGGACCTGTCATTGAAACTGATCATTCCACGCGGGAGGTACGGATCCTTGCGTCTTATTCTTGACCGACTACTTCTGGCCAATCATCCCGCATTCTGAATGGGCCACCTGCAGTTACGGAAAGAAGGGATGCATGATAAACTCGAACCGTTTGACCAGGTTGTTACCTAATCCTTTTTATTAGGCACCGATCGAACCACATCGATCGTATCTGACCTTCTCGATCACGAATTCGTTTTGTGGATGACGAAGGTAAAAATGGGAATAAAAAATGCAACAGATTTGATCAAACTAAGAAATAAAATTTTCATTCGAAAATATAATCTCTTTTAGATAGATTAGTCCAGAATCCTTCTTTCTTCGAGCAGATAATGGACAATGCGACGTTTCATCGTGCATGGATTTTCGTATGAAAAGATAAGAAGCGCAGAAGGGGAAAGTCACATGAATCAATGTATGTAGAAAGATAAGGGTTGTTCAAGGACAGCGGAGTTTAAAGGTAGCTCAAAGTGTTCTCGTGATACTCGACCCAATTTCTCCGCCGTGTAATTACTAAGCGAGTTATAAAGCGTGCATTCGTCCGTTTTAGAGACAAACGGTGAATTCCACGTCTCAATTTCTATGGACTCGAAAATATATGCATTCGGAAAGCCATATTTTAGGTAAGTTTATCTATCTAAGAAATACGTATATCTGCCATCTATACTTTATATATTTTATCTTTCAGAAAAATTCTTAATATTAATTAAGAATGTATTAAATTATATTATAATTCAGAAAAATTCTTAATATTAATTAAGAATATATTAAATTATATTATAATTAAATTTTGGTAAAGTATGATATTAAGTTTAAGTTTTGGAATTAAAAATATGTTTAATTCATGTCTTATGAGAATCTGACTCATAATTGAATCTTTAATGCAATTTCGCAATTTCATATTAAAAATTGTCCGATAAAAAATAGGTTCGATTGTATCCACGACAAAGAGAAAACATGAAAAAAGAAAATGATGAAAAAGGGAAGAACGAACGCGGTCATTCAAAGACACATCGATATTCCCCATGCTCTCCATCTTGTCGTCACGATATAAAATACCGGCTAAAAAAGGAGCGCTGAATGGCCGATACCTGACTAAAAACCGGACTTGTTCTCGTTACACGAAGCCAAAGAAACGAAGCAGTTGGTTGCAGCACGGTGCAGGTGGGTTGCCAGATGGCCAGAACGGAAACAGTGAATGAAGGAACGAAAAGAAACGAAAGGAACACCGTTCATCACGAATACGCGACAAGACAAACGCGACCGCGCGAACCGAATACCAATTTCGAGTTCCTGTCGCGCGATTCTGGGCATTTATTCTCATTTTGTTCAACACGTTGTAAAATTTCACACAATTATACAGAAAAAAAACGATTTAAAATAATAGTCATAATGGAATTGAGATTTACTTTTATAGGAAATTTATGCATATATAAAATGTTTTTACATTTTAGAATTATTAAAATTAAGTTAATGTAAAGTATACTTTTACGTGGCTATATTTTTTAATTAATAATACGCTATTATTAATCAATCTTCTTTTTTTTCCGTTACTTTTTTCATATTTAATTATTTCAAATAGAGTGTTTTTTTAACTATAGAATAAAAATATAAAAAAAGAGGGGATCGTGGTTCCGGCCGGGATCGAACCGGCGACCTTCTGCGTGTAAAGCAGACGTGATAACCGCTACACCACGGAACCTCTTGTTAGCAAGATTTTTACTAACATAATTCGTTCTCATTTAAGAATTTTTTTAAATATTTTTAAATTATTATAATTTAATGTCATATAACATTCGACTGATTACTATCATCAATTAATTTAACTTATGTTTATTACTATTTTTCTCGTAAAATGGCATTTAGAATTGAATACAAGTATAACTATTGTTATAAATATCATGACACTAATATCATAGGATTTAGTGAATTTGCAAAAATACATAAAATTTTATTATATGTATTATAGTAATAAATTATAAAAGGTGCAAAAATTAAATATAAAAATCTAAAAATTGCTAAATTATTGATTATTATATTCCAAAAATTAATTTTTAATGTGATCGCAAGATATTCCTATATAATACATTTTAATAAATTAAATTTAATAAATTAATAAATTTATTAACTTTTAGTAATAAATTTAATAAATAATAAAATGTTAGTAAAAATTTTATATAAAATTAATAAATTAATAAAAAAGTATATACTACAATATAATAAGAAATATTTAAAATGATTTTAAATATTATAAATTATATTTAAAATTAATTATATTTATTTGTATTTTACAGACATTTTTATCGACACTCGATCTTGCTTGCCGAGTTACGGTTATCAGGTGAAAAAAGACCGTATTCTGCTTCGATTAAATTAAATTAAATTTCATATTTAAAATATACATGTTTTATTCATAAATGTTTAAAATATATTTATTTTGCATAATTGTTTTTTTGCGCGTTTTACTTAAAGAATCGATATGATTATGGACAGATGGAAAGTTATTATAGTTCCAGTTTGTTATCTACGAACAGTAAGTTATATATTTTTTAAATGATTGATTAGTTTTTAAATGTATATATTAATAAATCGAAATTATAAAATTTGATTTAACTTATAAAAATATATAAAAGAGATTTTATTCATTACATATAATATTAATTATATCTAATAAAATTATTAAAATTATTATTTTATTTAATAAAATTTCAAAATGTAATATAAATATAATATAAAAATCATTTTTCATGCCATTCGCGAAAATTGTGTATGTATTTTAGATTTAATCCTATGTTAAATTTTTATTATTGTAAAGAAAAATTATTACATGCATAAAATTAAAATAAAAATCTAAAAATTTTCACATAAAAATATCATTTAAAATATTTTCATACAGATATAAATCAAAAAATAATATTATAAAACAATAAGATAAGTTTTAATTCGAAAAAATATGTTATGTACATTTTAAAAATATGTTAATTGTTATGTACATTATCGTAATTAATTGTAAAGTCCATAAATTAACAATAAAAAACTAAAAATTAATAAATTATTGACCATTATAATCAAAAAAGTGATTTTGATACGATCGATAAAATTCGTATATTTTCGACGGGCTTCGTAACAATCGACGCGCCCTTCCACCACTACGGAAATAAGTCGCGCTAAGGAGGTCATTACTCAACGAACCTTCCTAAGAGATAGATCGGAGCTATTACGCTCGTACTAAATTTACATAAGATCGCGAAAAATTTTTTAATTTTTATTTTTATTAAATTATAATATTATTAATACATTATATATTAATTATTTATTTTACTTTTTAATTAATATTTGCTTATTTATACATTTATTTATTGAATTATTTATAAATTTATATTTTATTTATTTTTTTAATTTTTTTAATTTGCTTTTACTTTAAAATTTTACTTTAACTTTTAATTTTTAATATACTTTAACTTTTTATTTTTAATTTAATTTAATTTTTATTTTTTTATTTAACAACTTACATTTTACAATTTAATTTTTTAAATTTTTTAATTTAATTTTACTTTAAAATTTTACTTTAACTTTTAATTTTTAATTTACTTTAACTTTTTATTTTTTTATTTAACAACTTACAGTTTACTAATTTAATTTTTTAAATTTTTTAATTTAATTTTATTTTAGTTAAAAGTTTTACTTTAACTTTTAATTTTTAATTTGCTTTAACTTTTTTTTTTAATTTAATTTTATTTCTATATTTTCACTTTATAACTTACATTTTATTTATAATTTTTAATTTGTTTTAACTTTTAACTTTTAATTTTATTTGTTTTATTTATTTTTTTTTATTAATTTTTAATTAATTTTTAATTTGATTTATTCATATATTTATATACTTATTTATTTATCCTTTGTTATATGGGTCTCGAAGTAGTCACCTCCTCGTTGGTGAGACCTGGTAATTGGCATCAGTTTTCACATTGTATTAATTGATTAAAAATTAAAAGATTTTATTATTATTAAAAAGATTTTATCAAAATTATTATATTAGAAAAATTAGTGTTTGAAAACTGATGCCAAGCTAAGAACTACACTAATTTTTTTTTTGTATGTTTCAGATTTTTCTAATTTATGTATATTATTTGTTATTTTTCTTATTATTCTAAAATTTTGATTATTTTGCAAGAAATTTCGAATATTTGTAATTCGCGACATATCTTATTAAAAATATATATAAATTATAATCCAGATTTTGATAACAAACAATTGTATTTGTAATTTTTCTAAAATAATATAATAATAATTTAAATTTTTAAAATTCATAATTATTTTTTAAGAAATATTTTATTCATAGCAGTATTTTCATAAATAAATACTTGAAAAAGAAAAAGATAGAAAATATTCGAATATATTTTGAATATTTTATTTCTTTTTCTATCCCATTCCTTCCTACTAATACACTTTTATTTTCAGCAAATTTTTGTGACCGCGCGCAATGCGGTCAGTAGAGTCAGTGCTTTGTTTCGTAAAAGTTTTTTTAAATCCTTCAATGGATAACGCGAAATTAGAGTCAGTGTTTCCTTCGTGAAAGTTTTTTTAAAGTATTTCAATAGATAACGCGAAATTAGAGTCAGTGCTACTCCGGAGAGGACAAGGACATTTCCACATCCTTCCTCCTACGCTTGATGATGGCCTTCGCAATGACCTTCCTTTATGGACCAATGGTGCGGCATCAATGGTGAGAATCTTCGCATCTAATGGTGAGTCGCATGCATTTTAATTCCTCCGATCACTCAATCATGTCGTAGGACGAAAGGTCCGAATCGACACGGGTGATTGGTTGTATACGTAGATTTTTGCAACGAGCATAGTGACCACGGGTATACTTACGGGTATACCCGTGAGTAGTAACATTTTCTGTATTTTATTTATTAGCTCAGGCTAGGTCTTCTTGCACATCGCGTTTTTTAATTTAAATAAATATTAATAATAAAAATCTTCTTTCATTTTTTGTTTCATGTAATGTTTTTTTAAAAAAATGATTTTTAAAGTCTTTAGCTTTTCTCCGAAAATGTAATTAAATTATATGTGCAAGAAGACAATTCGCGACAGGTAGATTTCCGAATCAAAGCAAAATTTGAACATTGTTTCCTTATTTTCGAAAATATGCTTTGATGAAGGAATCGCCTGAGGTTATTTCTATCAATTTTTAACTTAGAGTCAATTATTTTATTTTGCATTTAATTCTTTTTTTTTTTAGTTTTTTTTTATTTAATAAATATTTCAATATTTAATTAAAGTAGAGTCATTAAATAGTCGTAAATAGAGTTTGAAATAAAATTATAATAATCTATCTTTTTAGCTCAGGATTTTCAGGTTTAACCCCTTCCGTGTCCATTGCCTCGATCTCGCTCACGTGCCCAGGTGCTACTTGGGTGAGAGAGAGGCAATGGGCACGATGACCATAGTTTATAAGTTAACAGCGACTGACGATGAATTAGTGATCGTGCACGACGTATTTTCCACATTGTGCGTGTGTGTGTGTGTATTAGGCTGTGGAATTGCGTCGTTTACGATTATTTATTCGACTATTATCAATTCTATCACAATTTATCACCGCAATATTACATCTTCTATGAAATATTGCTAATTATAAATTTCATTAAATATCATTTCGTTAAAAATTGCATACAATATTTTTTTCAATCATAAATATACAGTTACGTTTAAAATATATTTTTATCGCGATTCACGCAATGATCACTAACCATCGTCAGTCGATTTCAGGCAAAAGGTACGTAAAGTTAAAGTATGAAAGTGGTGTCAAGCTCGGGTGACGGAGGCGTCCCGGGACGCTCTCCCTAGTGTAGGCTTTTTGCACCCGGGCGTAATGAATGAGAACCGTGGAGTGAATGTGTTGGTGTGCCTGTTTTGCCATTTTTTAAATATAGCTAGGGAGGATAGGTAGTATACTTTCTGGTGTGACTGTTAATTATAAGTAGGTAGGGCCGGGCAGGTTGTCACAGTCTCTGGTCGGGTAGGCGCGTTCTCGCGTGGCAACCTGTTTCAGGAAATCAAATTTGAAAGATGGAGAGCGAGGCTGAGACGAGTGGTCAAATGTGGTCACTCGTTTCCTGGCCTTGCTTTCGATTTTTCGAATTCGCGGTCGCGGTCGCGATTGGCCTCGAAACGAACGTTGAGCTCGAGATTCCGCGCATGCACGGACAATGGTCACTGCGATCCATTGGCCGTACATGTGCACTCAGCTTTCGCGTGATTTAGTCTTTTTTTTTATTTTTTTTTTTTTATATATGCGAATAGGAAATCTCGAGCCTAGTTATAAGTTTCAGCGGGCATCGCGCCCGAAGGAGGAAGACCGAAGAGGC